CGTGATGACGTAATACCAACATCCATGCGAACGAAATAAGGAGAGGATCAGACACGTGTATAAGAACTTATGCAATAACCTAATATAGAAAGACTGGCCGGCACAACCCAACGCACACACCCAAAAAAGTCGAAAAAATTTTTTTGGCCGAAAGATTGTTTACAGGGGTAATCGATGGCCCCGATCATGATTTTGACACTTATTTTCGGCGCCGACGTAATTTGGCGCCTGGGTAGCGCTACACGTCCCTTATTTGTGTGTACCCAACGCATTCATTGAAAGAAACATGTGGCTCCATATTAGCGATAATGGCACCATACTTACAAATGAGTTCCATATTCGTGATTCGGTCATGGTCTGACCTTTTAAAGATCAACTTTCAATTACGTACTTGCTTAATGGTATGTAAAACCTGTAATAATTGAATAGCACTGATTCATGGAGTGTTCCCATTTAAAATGTGCCCATAAATGGCAGTTATCGAACGCATACTCACGCACAGACATATTTGAACGCGAAAACAGCAAAACATAAAAAATGGTGCAGCTCGAATGCCAAGGGGAGTCGTATCCGCTAGGCCATCCGACCGTTGCTGCGTGTCACTCTCCGATCGTTGAAGAAACCCAAGAAGCCGTTCACGCTTGATTACGTGCCACAAGTAAGACCCCATACCCCGACTACTTTCTTCGATTCCGATAGTACCTTTATAGGGTCCCTCCATTCAGCAACTGGTCAAAGTTTCAAGCGGTTTACAGCTCGTAGAGGCTCAAAAACAATCAGTTTCCATAGGTTTCTTTTTCGCTCCTTTTTTGGCATTCCAGGGGCCGCTCAGCGAAAATGAAGCCCACTTTTATGGTTCATGGGCAAGGCCCTACAAAGTGCAAAGAACCATTTCGAAAAAGGGGCACGCCCTGAACGACCTCCCTTGTAAGGGATTCCAGTTAACTGCACTGGTGCATGAAACCTGAGTGCTCGCCCGCAACGAACGCGATATGAGAGGTCTAAGGGGTTCCAGTTAGCGGCGTTCCTGACCGATCTTTTGCAGTTTTCTTCACCGTTTGTTCCCTGAGCTTTTTAGTGGGCGCCATCTCCGTCATTTTATCATCATGCAGCTTGCATTTGAAGGCAGTGAGCATAAAAAATCCGGTATCAGTTTTAAAAGATGTTTGAAGTCAGTGGGCACGATAATTTGGTTCCCTGCAGCAAAAGGAAGCGGAGGTAGGCACTAGTATGGAAGTGAAGCAAAAGAGGCAAAGCGGCCAAAAACGTTGGCCGGAATAAGCCCTTTTGCGCTTCCATCAGGAAGTGTACGAGCCTGCGCCTAAGGTAAATCATCGATGCTCAAAGATCTATGTGAAAGGTCACGGCCATTGCAAAAGAAATTGAAAACGCATTGAGACATAGCATACTTCACGACAGTATCAACAAGGGTCCTTGCAGAGACAGGGACATTCTAATGACCTCTTCACAAAGCGGCTGTCAATGATTCGCAGGAATCGGGTGAAAAAAAACCAAATAGGTAGAAGAAGTCGAAGTCTGAAATTCCAAAACGCGCCTTACTAGCCTTTTCCTTTAGCCTTTAGATTTTTTCAGATGTTTTTTAATCTCTTCAAGAAGACCTCGTGCTTTGCCAAAACAAGGGTTATGCAGATATTGTGGGCCTTCATAGTACGGTAAGGATACCGTAAAGTAAGATAGGAGGATACCGCACCCTTTCGATGATCGCCTGTGGGTGACCACAACAAGTTGCATGAGCTGAGTGCTGACCTGAGTAGTTCCAAGGCAACCAGAGAACAGTGAGATGAAGCACTTCTCACATTACCCGTTCCGTCCACAGGATTTCGCTACCTCCTGCTGCACGGAGTCATCTAAGAAATTCATGAAGTCGCTACAAGAGTAGAAATTTGTATTGTTAGGATGCAGGAAAAAGTCAGCCAGAATGTTAAGGTCAAAGGGAATCAGCGGTAGAAGCACTGTTAGCATCTACTCTTGGGGACGGCTTACTTGATTACCTCCGAAAATAGAATTCCGGCAAAAGAGATTTCGCAGCCCACATTTCAGCCTTTATTTTGTCATCGGAACTATGCCGTAACCGCCTTTTTGGCATGTCATGTGATGATTATGTGTTGGGGAGCTCTAAATCTAACACATAGTAGTTCAATAGTCAATAAAAAGGGAAAAACTACCCGAACATTCAGGCTAGGACCTTCTGCTGATCCGTGCTTGTACAAGTGCTACAAGTGCAAAGCGAAGAGGAATAAATGGGCATTATTCTTTGTTAGTAACGATATCTCTTTGCTCTTATCATATCACCCTCACCGCTCTGAATTGGGTGCGGTATGGGGCGGTGGATGAGGGAATTTTAATTAAGCCTGACTATTACAAAAACTATACCCATATGTTTAGGAATTTGTAAATTTTGTTTGAAAATTTACCCATAATTTTACTAATTTGTAGGGAGGCGTTCAGATGCCTTCTTCTTTACGCGCTGTATCATACTCTCATGCTGGTAATGATAACCCCCCCCCAATAGACAAGTTTATAACGAAAGGAACACTCTTCGTGGTATCCCATATATAATCCGCTAGCAATAAGCCCCAGCAGCGGCCAGTTGTGGGCGTGTCACTGTGGGTGGGGGTGAAGGGTGGCATGTACAGCCTTGATGAGACGCTTAGAGACCGTTTTTCTCTGGGAAAGGCGCTGTGGGCGCAGTTCGGCGACGGGGGTGGGGCATTTTGCGCTTTTGTTGCTTCACTAGTTCCGGTTTACACGTCTCACTCGGTGAAACCCCTTGAGCTCTCGTGGAGCTGAGGAGCTCTCGTGGAGCTGAGCTCGTCAAGCCATCATGGTAAAACCTGTCAACTCGAGAAGAGGCTGTCTAGATGGGTCGACACGTCGATGGGAAGTAGCAAAAGTGCAAAATGCCCCCTCCCGTCGCCGAACAGCGCCGATGCTCTGCAAGGGTTGCTTAGGAGCGCGGTATCCTTCGGCGATCAGCTTATTCATATTACATGCCCCAGGTAGCAGGGAGTGCCCCTTACATTCAGTAGGAAGGTAGCACAACAAAACGGGCGAAAACGCGCGCAACAAGGTCTTTGCTGCATTTCTGTTTCCAACTAGGAAGAAAACGAGCAAACGGTTGACGTGAGATGAGTTCTTTCAGCGTCGCATCCCCTGCAATCCGTTCTGCAATCAACAGCAGTATCCACATTGCACCTTTGAATGCAAGTGTGACTGGTCTTACCCTTATGTGCAAAGGTTCTGCAATCCTCCGCCGATTCCTGTTATTCTGAACGCTTGCAGGTGAACTGAATTAATTTTTAGAGCTTCTTTTTGAATATTGACGTCAGCTATCGTATGAGCTGTAGTAGAGGTGGTTGTAAGTAATAAAGTACCTGTATCTCGTACAGGATATGGTACTGGGCTTGTCCGAAATACGAACGATATCACTATGCCTCACAATACATCTACTCTAAAGCAGAAAAAGGAAAGGAATATCGTAAGTATTGCTCTTGGTTTAAATTACCGCAGCAACTGCTGTGAAATACATGTGAGGCACGGATTTAGCTGGCGCAAGGATGACTAATCCGAATCCGTACAACATCCCTAGCCCGCTTGGTCATCCTCATATTGGGGGACAAGAATCTGAGGGTGAACCTGGACGATTTGCGGACGAAGTGATTACGAATAAAGGGAACACGGACTCGGTAATAGAACAGGTTTTAAGAACTGTTTATCATTTTGATGGCTTTTGAACAGTCAATATCCGCCTCTTATCCCGGCTAAGCCACTGCGATTCAAGCGATTCGTTTAATGTACAGATCTGTTAACTTTCACGAGATTGCTGAGTATGGATGAGTCCTCACTTCACCTCTGCCATCACGCGAATCCAGAAATGTTCCTGGGAGCGAGCTTTCAATTATAATACAAAATGATTTTTTCGACTGGCGAGGTGTTTCGCCTTCGAGGGCAGTGTGCGATTCCTAGAAGTGTATTTTTTCCCTCCGTAAAGTACGCATATCAAAGGTGGATTCAGAAGTGCCACCACTATCACAGAAAAAAGCGCGCCAATGACGTCATTGGGTAGGGGTCCTAAAAGCGCACTGCTCGGGAGGCAGCGGCGTCCACCCACTTCAAATCGCAGTGTTCCGATGGGATTGAATTCCATGACTGTTCTTTTGACTGCGGTCAGTACACGAGAGCTTCGTCAGCTTCAATGCGTTATGGCAGTTGAGCTGGGCTACCAGAATTATAGGTGAGCAATATATGAAGTGAGGCTTCGACCCTTTTTTGCGTTAATGGTTCCAAATATGCTTACCAGCTTCAAAGCTCTGGTTATCCATGAACTGACAGGAAGTCACTCCAGAAAGCTTTTAAAAAACAAACTTGTACTTGTAATAGTTGTAATAGTTGGGGCTGGAAGCCTATTGCTTACAGCGCTTTCAAACTTCCTCCTATTTTCCGCTGTTCTGGTGCAAGGACGCCCTGTTTAGCACCTAATGTTTCATATCTGAACTTAATTACCGTCGTCTTGCCTCCATATACGGTGTCTTCAGATTGTGTGTAACAACATTTCAAAGTTGTAATACAGACAGTCCACCGAGTAGGCGAGAGGATGGGACAGGTGGCAATAAGACTGGGCAGTACTTCTCTTTCCTGCCCGTCTGCGTCCTCTCAGCGAGATAGTGTTCGGTGAGGGTGGCTGACGTCAACGAGTGCGCAGACAAGCAGAAAATGAGTATTGTGGGTCAGAAGGCGGAGCCACTCACTCACTCAGAGCCCTTCAGGCTACCATCCAGCTCAGCGAAAAACAAGAAGCATGTGAACAAAGAAAATGTAAAGAATCCAAAAAATTAATTCTAGACTTGTCGGTCCAGCTTTGTATCGCTCTCGAGAAGATCCGTCGAGAAAAAAGAACCGGGCGCATCATCATCATCATCACCATCACAGGTAGGCTATTTGAAAATCTGACCGTTCATATTTTGCAATCGGCGATTTCAACAATTTTTGAGTATGTTACAGGAGGAGATCAAAGCATAGTCACAGGCATAGAAGAGGGAAGAACTCAAAGAAATATCAACGACGAGTGAAGCGGTACTCGTCCCGGAGCCCTTACAAAAACGATACACAGCCTGTTACAGAAGAACAGTTCTACCAAGCTGTGACGTAACACCTTTTTTCATTTCTGGGGTTCTTTCTAACTTGATTTCTCATCTCGACAATATAAACCAGCTCATTCCTCGACAGTACTTCTTGACTTCCTAACATTTAATTTCAGAATGATCATGTCTATGGCGAATCCCGCGAAATTTCATGAGGATCGCTCCTTGTCACTACAGAGGGATCTTTTGGCAACGCCGCCAAGGTAAGCTACTATACTCGATTAAGGTGCTATTATCCGATGTGCTTTAATTAAGAACCTATGAAGCCGGAGCAATCAATGGTACAGGGTACGATACATTCCGGGTAGGCTGTTGCGCTCATTTCAGAAGTAGAACCAAGGCATCCTCTCCCTTACAACTACAGCCTCTGAATTCAGGCTTTGTCTGTTTCGTCAGATAAACACCGTGTACATCATCGGCCGAGGAGTTGAAGGCCATTCGGGGACCGGATCAGGGATGCTTCATATAACTTCTAGTGCATTTTTTGAGTTTTGCTGTTTTGAAGTTGTTTGTTCTTCTTGAAATGTATCAGTGTGTATGCTTTGCGTTACTAACCGATCGTTGTAGCCGCACTCCGACCAAACTTAATCGATGAATTTTTTCTACTAAATCATAAGCTGAGTGCTGATAACGTACACTGGCGAGGAATGAACTCGCAAGAAGCCACAAGATCATAACCATGCATTTGCGAGGAGAGGGCAGTGGCGAAAAAGGCATTCTGACTTCCAGAAAACCTCGGTTGAGCGATCGAAATGAGTGTCTCTCAACGAGAAATCTTTCGCCATTTATACTGCATTACGAACTGAATAACAGAGCGTCACGTGCTTCTCTATATATTTATTGTGCGAAGACAGTTAAGTTTGATCTACTTACGAGTAATGGACACTTTCCAGTAGCAGCAGTCTTCTCCGCGCAAACGGTGAGACCATCTATAAGTTTGGTTTCACCCCACTGCAGTCTCTGAGATTCCTGACACGACATCGCTAGAGTTAACGTAACAGAGGGATCGAGTGTGATCTCCTCCTCGAAACATGTCCAAGCTTTCGAAAGCAAGGACTCCGTCGAAAAGTTAGGCCACTGAATGAATGTGTTCCACCTACCGAGCCCGCACTTCAGAAAAGAAGTTTGGCAGTTACTAATAACATTCCAAGATTGCAAGAGGAGAGATCTGTTGAATAGTGTTTAGCTTCCTCAATTGGGGTGAGAGCCCACTTCAAGTCATTACGGGCCGAGATAAGATCAGCTCAAAAGGAGAAACCAAACTGACAGCTGTTGCAGCGGTTTGCGTCACCTCATTTAGTCGCCTAATTTGTGAGTCTTTTTTTGAACGAGGAGGATCATGAAGCGGAAATTGTATTAGGTTGCACACCCCATGTAGTGTCTTCGATACCCAAACTGTTGCTTAAACTGTGAAGGATAATACTCGCTAACACATACAACATGATTGTAATGTGTAATATTTATGGGTAGAATTTTTTTCTGGAAATTAAAGTTGCATCAATTGCGAAAGCTGGTGTATCAGCCATTTTGTGCCCACTCCATAAAAGTCTAATTTACAAAATTCACAAATTCATGGGCAGTTTTAGCGAGAATATTAATGGAAACGTACATAAAACCTGAAGAAATTCAAAACTCTAATAACAACGGACGGCGCGTAACGTCCAAGGAACGTTGAATGGAAACCCACTTGAACCGATAGAGCTCAAAATGGTTGCTACAAACATGGAAACCAAAATTGCTGACTAAACCTCGCAAGCGAGTTGCGAGTTGTCGACGCCTCTGCAATGGAGGCATATAAGCAGGGTCGATCGTGAATGACACTGCCGTTGCACCCTAGCATTTGGCACAAGAGAGATTTGCGAGTCCGTGTGAATGGGTGTTACCGTAGACTTGGTTGTGATTGGAGCGCGCTGATGGATTGGGGCATGATTCGCAGGAGCCTCGAAGGTAGTAGACTTCCAGTAGTCGAAAGAAGATGAATTAATTGCATTATGGTATTGCTAAATTGGTTTGTATCTAGAACGATAGTAAACTTCAGCGAATAAGAATTTTAGTATTCCTACTATCCTAGAAATGACTTTAAAGAAGATAATGGTGAGTTTTTGTACCTCAGAATATGAGCAGTGCAAGTATCCTAGAAGTAAATTCGAAACCATGAAGATGTTGACACTTCAAGCGTCTCAGAAGTACGCTGACTTGCACGGCTCATATTCTAATAGCAAGGTACAAAAACTCACATCATCTTATTCAAAGTCCCGGATAGTAGAAGTACTGAAATTCATTAGACTAGAATAAAACTGAGTCACCTTCTTGCAGTGCGAAAACCTATCCATTAAGTAGTGCTCCAAGCATCTCTGGTAAATGCCAAAGAACTCAGTAGCAAAATGTTTCATATTTACGCGAGATTCTGAGTTAGAAAAAGCGTCATTACTCATGGGTCAAGCCAGTGTCATTCACCCCAGAGAGTATCGGAGGTGTAAGTAACGTCTGCTGAACCGCTTTTGAGAAGTCCCTCATGACAAAAAAAACAACGGAGAATTTGAATAACACTTCTGGGACACCTGAACTGTCCCCATTCAAAGTTCCACAGGTTTCCAATCATCTTTGAGTAGATCACCTGTATGATCTTCTAGAATACCTGGTTCATAAAATCTACCTACCAGCTGCATAAAAACCACTTACAGGATAGTCTATTTGCTGAAGTTTACCATAAATCTATATAAACGTAATACCATAAAGCAATTAATTCATTCTCTTTTGACTACTGGAAGTCTATTGGCTTGGAGGTCCCCTCGAATCATGCCCCAATTCATTAACGCGCTCTAATCATAACCAGGATTACGGTAACACCCATTCACGCGGACTCCCAAATCTCTCTTGTGCATTTGGCTCTCGCTTCACGAGCAACAAAATGCGGGTTTGCTCAGGTTGCCGCGGGAACTTTTGGTTTCTCGCTTCCATTTTTGTCGAGCTGTGTAAGGAATTCGAGCGGATAAGGAAGGAGCTGTGCCGCACGCTGACTGCCGCATCAAACGGATGTGAGATCAATGTAGTGCGAGTGAATCCATGCCCAGAGACTGTTTTGGCTAAATCGATTTCCTCGCCTGAAGGGTTTATTTAGTTCTGAGGTAGAGTTCACAGTATATCAAAGGTTTTAGGTAGAATTCAATTCTTAGTCACTCCTCGAAGATTGGGCAAAATCTCGATTTCGCCGAAACTCAAAAAAAACCAAAACGCTGGTAGCACGGCTTATCACAGCCTTTGTTGCGAACACAAAATTCCGAAACGTGCGGTCATGCAGGGTGATCAGTGCCAGCGTCCTTTCGATCTGCCACGTCAAACTTTTGACCTGCTCATTCGGCAAAAGGCGATTGAAAAGACAAAAAAGCAAAAGCTCTTGTTGAGCTCTTCTCGGAAAACAACAGAAAGAGGCTCGTTAGGGAAGCCGGAGAGCAAACCCTCACCCTACTACCCGCAGAGCAAAATCCTTACCAAGAAGATACCGGCAGTGATACGAGCAAACCCTGCTGATATGTCGCCTCTCTTTCCGGCTAACGTTACGTGCTAAAGTTTGATTGCGAAAGCAAATTCAGTTCTCATGATTGTAACCAGCTCCCCGGGTCCTATCGATTCAGCAAGGTTTCCGTTCACGTTCATATAGAAATTCGAAGGCTTCCTTTCACGAGGTCCGCATAAAGTTCTTCATCCAAGGGAATCTAATCGTAATCGTAGTCGTCAGGAATTCCTAGGAATGTTCCAACGGAAGGGAAGAACACCCCCTCGTAGAGATCGGTACCTCCGACGCCTGCTGCTGGCACTGCCCAATGACCACCGGAAGCAACCTGAACATTGACTGACTCTATGAAACCAGACTCAAAATCAGGAAATGAAACCTCTTAATCACAGTGTCACACAGACAGGAGCAAGTATTGCCTTTTCTGAACCAACCTCACCACCCATCCAGTCTACAGTCACTGAATAAGGTTTATACCACCATTTGTTTGCGTGGTCTCTGTTGTGTGGATTATCCGGATTGGCTTCCCATAGACCTAAAACCGATATCGATTGTTTTGTATGGTGAACTCTTCTAATAACGGAGCCTCTCTTCACTCGTTGCCAAGTCTTTCGTCTTTAACTATGGATCGATGCAAGCAGTAGTGTGGATAACCAACGTATCACTCCCGCTCCTCAATAGCAGCCTCTGATTAATATGCACTACATTACTTGTTCTCGGACCGATGCCAAATATTCTCGCGTAGGCTCATGGCAGTCTATAAACTAGGGGATGAAGAGCCCCGCGATCACATGTTCAATAGGGCAAAGGCAGGGTTCAGAGACAGCGTCCTCCGCGGTTCCCCGATTTTAGCAGGGACTGAGAAGAGGACACACACGCCCATATTCAGCTATGACTTATGCAATGTTCCAAATAAATTAAAATTCGGAATGAGTAATCAAGAACTCAATAACGAACCAGGCCTCACGAATGGACTACGGCTTCTCGGCCGATGGCGTATACCGTACCGATCTGTCAATCGAGAAAGCTCCTGAAAGTGGTGCGAGTACTTTGAGTAAGGGAGCGAACGCGACCAGCTCAAATGGGAGGCAGAATATTTCTAACCTGAAATACTTGATCGTCTCCATCATCCCTCAGTACGGCTGTACGGCTTTGATAAGCACTGAATTATCTTATTCGTGAAAGGATGTGGATCAGATATATTGTTACAGCTTACCGAGACCTTGCCCTACCCGTTGAGCTCTGGTCTCTTTGACGCAGCAGTTTTTTCGGATCTATAGCTCGTTCTCGTTTGCGACTGGTTTTGGAATATTTTCTGCAAGTGATCATAGTTTCGCGATCAGATTGCAATATTGGGAATATCGAACTGTGAAGTGCTTTGCAATCATGGAAAAAATGATGAAATTCAAAATCGGTCAAAGGACGTCTCGTTACATAATATCAAGTCTGAGTTGGTTAATCGTTGAAAATACCCACTTCTTATCGCTTTTCAGTATCTCCAGTTGCTGGCGTTCAGCAAGTTTCGGTAGAGGAGGAGGAATCACCAATACTTTCTCGGGAACAGGAGGAGGTATCACTAAATTGTTTACGGCTCGTGGGAAGCGACCAGCAGTTCTGTAAAGTGCGATACTGATGGTCATGCTTTCTTAGTCATAGGCAAACATTTGTTCCAAGCATCAAGGGGGAATTTCTTCTGGTACTAGCTGAGTGAAAACAGTTGATTGACAGTTTACTGTAATAAGTCGCACACTATTGGAACCCATGGCACCACCGATAGGAAAGAGCATGGGAGATGTAAGCACATGTTTTTGGTTTCTTTCTTGGGCGAGAGGTTTTGTAGATCGTGGCCGAAATAGGTCGGGAATTCGAATTATCTCGTCGACAAAATCCTCATCTTTATAGGAGTAAAAGACGATTACAGGAATTGCACGATGGTGCACTGTGGAAATCTTCAATGTTTCCTGGCTCATGAGTAACTGCTTTGCTGCGAACAAAATAGTCCAAATTTAGCGCTTATTATGCCTCAAAGAAGAATTCTGGTCATAACAGAGCAGCATTATAATAGTTAGTTTAGGAGATCTCTGTGACTTTTCACAGTACAGGGGGCCAAAAAAAGTCACGTCGACCGAGTCACATATCAGTGAAGTTTTCGCAGCCCAGACAGACGACGTGGATACGAGTACCAGGGCGGAAGATACCCAAGATGTTCTCGATAAGCAGGAGCTGGCTTTCCCATCATCTTCATATACAGCCAAAATATGAAGTCATCTCCAGTCGCAGCCTGACTGGAGAAGACCTTTGGAATTCATGTCACCTCCAAACAGCTGCGAAACTTCTAGTATGAGATGAGGTCACTCATGGGATCAGCTACCTAGGAGACCACTACTCTCGATCTGGTCAGGTCTCAACATCGAGCAGTGCCGACAACGTCGCACGGTCTAGACATCGAATCTCACCGCAGTCGCAAGGCGCGGGTTGATGGTATGGACCGGACGTACCTGGAATGGAAAGACCAATATTTTCTTCGTGGACCCCGGACTGAAGGTGAGCGCTGGCGGTTACATCTAGGCAACTCGAGAGAATATCCTTCACATGTCGTCGTCCGTACCTTCTTGGAAACTTTGTACTGCTACAGCATTGGGTGCCACCACATGGAATCGAAGGGCGTTGGAGAAACTCTCGCCTACTTGGAATGGAAGGGGCTGAGTACCTAAAGAAGATGGAATATCCACTTCGGGCGGAGTTCAATAGGGTGGTCTACGGTGGCGGAGAAATCGACTATCTCGCTGATCTCAGGCACCACATCGCGGTCGCGTGCCAGAATCTCTCGATGGCGCTCGTCCAGAAGGCTGTGGCGGAGTGTCGTGATAGTATTTAATATGCTCTTTGATATGGTGGTAGAAATTCCCCTCGAAAGTCAATGAAGAAAAGTGACTTTTTTCGCCTCCCCCGCTCTGTACACTGCCTGCTACTCTAATGTGAGGCTTTGTGCAGACAAGTAGGTAAGGTAATAATAAATAAATATTGCGTATGGGAGTTCATCGCAGAAATACGCAAATAGTCAGATCTGCTGGTCTTCGCTGGCCCCCTCACTTGAGAAAAATAGACGGCGATCGCAGTGTCTGAAGAACACGCGAGAGAAAGGTCACACGAGGCACGCGAGAATGTTCCATTTACTGTTAACGCTCAAAGCTCACTCTCGCAGTAGTTTGATATTCTCGCATAGGTGGAGGAAATAGTAAAGGCTAAGTTAACCGACCCTAGTCCAGGCATAAACATCTAACTCGAGTCATCAAATCTTCATACGAGTCGATATTCGAGCTCATCCAAGCCCTTTTTGACGATGGCTCAACCTGACAAAGTCTGCCGTCGCCTGCTCCGAGAACAGATCTTTTGCAGCATGTTGCGGCACGAGCCTTTTTGCGACTTTTGACGTCGTTATTCTTGAACTTTCACAAATCTAAAATTCAACTTGCACCAGCAGATTTTTTGATTCAAACTTCGGTTTCTAGCGAACGTGCGTGAGAAGTTAGATCGGAGAGCGAGTCCTGATTTCGGCACTATTTTGGCATATGTGATGGCAACGCATATAGTTCCCCTACGCTACAAGGAGGCATTCTCTGTACGATCCGGTCCTTGCTTCTCTCCCTCACGCTGAAGGCTGCGGGTTAGATATCTGAGAGATCTGCTTAAGAACAGCTCTCACTACGTGTGTTTACTCAGTACGCTCTCAGAAAGTTATCACAAGAATGCTTACATATATGAAAAAGTCATAACCCCATGCGCGACAAGAACCCACATACTCTGCTTTCCAGTCCGATTCGCGCCATCCTTTACGCCTTCACGCCCGCATTTTACCCGCTCCGCTTGAGGGATCTTAGCCATAGTTAAGTTATATCAATTTTCGAAGTGCAAGTTAGAGGAATATTTCATTGCTTCGTTTCATTGCTTTGTACCTGAAGCCGTGACACCGTTCGATTTCACCGTTAATAAGGGTAGACGCTTGGAAAGTGATTCCTGCAATCAAGTGATTTACCTTTTATAGACATATCTGAAGTTGAAGTCCAATTGTTGATTGATGGGAGAGAAGTACTCGTCTGTAAAGTACTGTAATCATTCAGGCAAACACAGCACAATCTACAGTGCGTACGAAAAGAACCTTTCTGTTCCACATGTTCGCCTGCAGCGTCATTCTTCAGTTTTTTCATGGGATTAAAAAGAACTCCACGTTGTGCTTTGTGCCAAACAACAATCTGAACTTCAACGTGACAAATATGAAGAGTAAAGTGTGTCATATGTCATACCATCCAAAAATTCACAACTTTCTTCAAACCAATTTCATTAATTACAATATTCACCACTAGTGTTTGTAGTTGCCATCCATCAGCCT